ATTTGATATATAAAAATAGAGGAAAATATTGTCACTGATCAAATATGAGTGATGTTTAACATGTGAGGGTGCTTTTTGCCTCATACATTTGTCCTATAACTAACAAAATGTCTACTACAAAAACTTCAGCTTTTAAGTATTATTATGGCCGGCAGTGATCCATACAACAAATCTACAAAAGTCGCTGCAATCACAATACAAAAACTGAAGTTCTAGGACTGAATCAATGACAGATGATCAGAAACAGCAAATAAAATCTAGCAAGGCCCCGGAGATGCATCATCCTTCAACTGATGAAATATGTGTCAAGTTATACTATAGCTCTTTGAGAATCACTATGTTGATCCTAAAATACTATTTTGTCTGTCAAACTATGATATCTACTGTGTTGCGTATATTTTTAATAGATTCAGCTAACCAAATGTAAACAAATAATATAGATGTGACAGTCTGCTGGTAGCAAAGTCCCTAAAAATTGATTAAAATTGTTTGTAAGCTTGCTTTGTTTTGTTAAACTGTACGCTGTAAGTCAGCCCTGGTTCATTACTTGAGTTAAAGAGCCTTTAAATGCCTAAATGAATCATAGCTCAGAATTAAGTGGCTTAACAAAGGGGGAGAAAAACAGCCCTTCTCTGAAAATCATCATGTAATAAACAGAAAAATGCTGAAAAGCAGCTAAATTATAAATTTAAAGAAAATTTTAAAACGCTCAAGAATTGTTGATCTAGAACTAGGCCTGTCGCAATAAACAATAAATCAATTAATCAATTAATCGCATGTTAAATGAAAATTATTGACCTCATTTTCATTTATCGGCTTTAACGTTTCTTAGTGTCTCTCTTTCTACTGAAGACACTGGATGACAAAAGGCTCTTCACTGACCCCTCCCTTTCTCTTTTCTCTTTAAAATCTGTTTTAATGATCCAAAATCGCGTTTTAGGATCGTTAAAAGCAGCTAAGCTGAGAAGCTAAGCTACGAGCTAAGCTAACAGGACGAATTAGGGGAAAAAAAAACTCAACATTCACAGTTGAAACCTGTGCTTTCATGTAAAAAGTTGTTGTTCACTGCAAAACGAAGCTGAGAAGTTGTTTACTGATTTTTTACCTTTGTGTGAAAAATGCTATGCGAAAGAACTCAAACCATACGAGCGTCCGCCATTTTGAGAACCCAAAGGAAGGAAGGAGAGACAGCCCATGTCACGTCAAGGGGCCTCCCTTCCATTTTTCTTAAAGAAACATGCTTTTTGCTCCCTCACTATCCATTCTTCGCTTCAAACAGTCTTATACTGCCATCCAGGGGTCAAAAAAGGTAATACACACAAAAATTAACCAACATTTCTTCTTAAATTTGACAATAATTACTAATTATTGGCAAATTTCAAACAATATTATTGTTTATCGCAATAATTTCTGAGACAATTAATCGCCCAGCAAAATTTGTTATCGTGACAGGCCTATCTAGAACGCATTAAAGATAGTCAGGCTCACTGGATGTAATATATGTAAAACAATGAGGGGGTTGACTTTAAACTTTTGCACAGAACTGTCTCTGGTGTCAGTGATCACTGACATGCTGCCGCAGAACGTCATGCAGAGAAGCAGCTCAGTGAAAAGGACATTTATGTCAAGGAGCTCCTAAAACTTTTACTTAACTTCCACAACACTAATAATATCCAGCTTCAACTTTCAAGCTGCGTTCAGCATTTTCTGAAACGAGTAGAAACATAAATGACAAAAAGAGAACACTGGATAATAACCATGAAAGTAATGACACGTTCCCTGCTTTCGCTGCTTTCGTGTGTCTTACGTAACACGGCGAGAGCAACTCCCATGGGTTTCAGGGGCGTTCGCGGCCTAATGAGATTGGAGCTTGAACTCAACCATCTTAGATTCTGGGTGTTTGTTCAAGAACAGCCCGCAGTAAACTTTGTCCTGCTCCGAGTTTGACACATATGCTCCGCATGCTTCTTCACCTCGCTGCTTTCATCAGTGGGAAACTTCAAATTGCATTATCCCTGCAACACTTGGAAGCCTCATAATGTCTCGTTGCAACAATAAACCTTTTGTTTCAACGAGTGCCACTATGACTGATGGAAGAATTAAACCCATTGCATGCTCACCGCTAAACAAAATATATTTTGTCATAATCCTTTTGGAAATTATACATTAGCATTTTCTCATTAGACTAACTTACCACATCCTGTTACATAATTTCAAGTCTGAAGTAGCGCAGTTACTGAAAAAACGACGACGTGGCAGCTCTGTTTTCATCCTGTATGCGCAGCTTATTTCTGTTCAAAAGGGCAGTTTTTCTGTCTGTTCCTCGTTGTGTCAACAGACGATCTAAGAGGCTTATCTGAGGTTGACGGTTTACCTGCACACGCACACATTTATTGTCGTTTACACACACGCTGCAGGCTCCTTTGGATCGATGTGTGAAATCAGTACAATGAAGAAGTAGCAGCGACGCTTTGACAGGAGCGTGAAATGTTTAATGATAATTTCTTTAAAGCCTGAGCAGAGTGGCGAAGATAAAAATAAAACTTCTAACAGATGTGAAGGCTTTTAAAGGATGCGCTCAGATGTAAAGCACCATAAAGAAACAATAAATTCTAAAAATAAAAGTATTATGTAAGATTATATATATATATATATTAAATTCTGAGCAGTTTTTGTTATATTCAGCAAAGTTTTGAGCTTTCTCTCCCTTTAATTAAATCCAAACAGTGGAAGTTCAGCATAGTCAGGCTTTATTTGTGTCATTTGAATCAATGAAACTAAAACTCCAAGCAGAGATGATGCACATCATTTGGTGGTGAGCAACGTTATTTGGTTTAAGCATGTTTCTTTTTGTTTGTTGTGCTTGTTCGTGCAAATTGAAGCTTTTGACACTTCTTCTACTCAAAATACATTCGCAGGTGCCACTTTCTTCAGTGGGGAGGACTGAACTGTCATTAGTGTCAGGTGGAAAGAACGTGTTATTACAGCAAAAAGAACAAGCAGTACGCCGACGTCCCCCGTCATTGAGGGAGTTGAATAATGCATGTTGGTAGTTTTTGAGATGAGTGTTTTTCTGGATTGGAACTGGGAATAGTGGTGAACCTTAATGTTTTTGGTGCAAGTAATTCCAGGTGGTAGGGAGGATCGATTTAATTTTTTTAAATTCAGGACAGCACAGAGTGATGGATACTGGCAAGTGGAGTGAGAAATTTTATTTACAATTTGGTGCAAAGGCAGAGGCAGGGGGTGGCCATCGGTGGCCTTGGCCACTATAAATTAATCTTCGGCCACCCCACCCACCATCCCAATCATTTCTAAAATGATTGGGTTGGACCGTTGTACATATCTATGATGGCAGAAATCTTAAATATTTATGTGGCAATCCAATTTTTGATAGGGACCTTTCTTAGGCCCAGATGCAGCCATGCACCAACAAATAAGTCAGTTTCTCATTTACTTTTCATATTGTCCAGCTCACAACATGGACAATCAGATGATAGATGGTATTTTCAGTTCTCTACTTGTGTAACACTAAGGAGGCAGGAAACATGTGAGATGGAAACAGAACACAGGTCATACAAGTCTAATAATATATATAGTCTAACTGTACTCCTAATAAATGTATTTTTACATCCAAGGTGCACAATAAAACACATACAAACTGACAGTTCATGTGTTCATGGGCTCAGATGCTGTTGTTTCCATCTCTCCAAGCTAGCCTAAGCTAACATATTAAAAGTAATATAAACTGTTTGGGTTGTAGCTCTCAGTCTAAAATTTATATTTTTAAGTAACTACCTTTTTGTTAATCTCCCCCTCGCTGAGCATCCTATTGAGCAGTGGCTTGCCTCTGCAGATTTATCAGAGATATTGGACTTTGATAAACTAAGAAACATTTTATTTTTATATATTTCTTTATTTTTTGTTTCATTCATATTTTTTGGGGAGTGAAAACTTTGTTTTTAGTATTTTGGTGAATTCAATTTTTAATTTGAAAATTAGGACTAAAGTTGAGAATTCATGACATCTCAGTGCCATTCAGGATGTGACATTTGTATGAGTGGGTGAGCTGAGGCCCATTAGGTTCATAAACACGCTGTCAAGAAATGCTTATTGGTCTGACATGATGTAATTATCAAGGACACGACAAAATCACTTTAAGTCTGGCTCAACTCAAAGCACAGTGGCTTAATCTAATTAAATAACAGGTTTGGACATTTTCCCCCTGAGCTGTGAGGATGTTTGCTTAAAATATTGTTCTGGCAAGCTCAAGAAAAACTGTGTTTTAACCAGCAACTGAATGAATGTTAAGAGTATGTGCTGCTGCACCTGCACAGTTTTTAGCCTAACAACATTAATCCCTGCATGGCTGCTTGAGATTCGCAGAGGGCTGAGTGACACTCGCATTAACAGCATTGTAAGAGGGGGACAACTGAACATGGAGGCCTCCGCCCCTGTTTAACGATGGTTGTCCCAGCAGCGTTCAAAACTTAAAATACATTACAGCAAAAAGTGGTTCATCCCAAATATCCTGTCCCCTGGCACAGAGTAACATAGTGTATGCTGTTCAGCGCCAGGAGGCTTATACATCAGGGAAACAAAGCAGCCAAAGGCTAAAAGAATGGCCCAGCACAGAAGAGCAACATAATCAGGTCAGGACTCTGTGGTCTACATTCATCTGCAGGCAAGCGGTCACTCTTTCAGGGATGAAGATGTTCACATCCTTGAGAGGAACATTAGTTAGAGAGGAGTGACGGAGGCCATCTTTGTGAAGAAAACCTGCTCTTCCTTAAACAGGGGTGGAGGCCTCCGTGACAACCTTGTTAGATTTATCTGGATTATTGAGCATGCATCTAAACTAGGTTTCCTTAAAGGAAAGGTTTTAAAAAAATTATCCTGTAATATGTTAGTGCTCAAGACATACTGTATATTAGAAACAGGGGCACCACCAAGGAGGGGCCAAGGGGCAATGGCCACCCCTAAAATATTGACATAATCGGACTTCCGTTTCTTTATCTTAATCCAGCACTCACTGCTTCTAAGTCATCTCCAATGTCTCTCTGTAAATGGCACTGTTCGTCAATATGATCAGAGGGGATATGGCGGATAGTTTGCAGTTTAACTGGGCGGGTCATCCAGTGATGTAGCTCCATTATCCAATCAACAGCTGCTGTCTGCTTACGTCAAAATTGTCAAATCGGAGCAGTTCACTTGGAACCACGAACAAGGTGGTCCCATAAACTGGCCTGAGTGGGGTTGGGTACCAGCAGTAGGCAGGCCCTTAACTGGTGTGGAACCAATGAGAGTTGAGACTGTGGTAAAGTGCCACATATGGCCCTGTGATGGACATGCGACCTGTCCAGGGTGTCCCCTGCCTCTCGCACAGTGACTGCTGGATATTGGTACCAGTGACCCCCATGACCCAGAAAGTAAGCAGCGGGTAAAGATGGATGAAATCAATAATATAAAAATGGGTTAAATTAAAAATAAAACTTAAGATCTGATGACCTCAATGTCCTCAACATCAGGATGCACAGTCTTGGGTTATATGCATTATATGTTTTAGAAATTTAAATGTAGGAGAGGCCAAACTTCAATAAAATGAGTAGTGAGAACTAAAATGTGCACTTTGGAAGGGGATTCCCGGTATTTTCAATAACCTACAGTATATACGTCAACAATTCTGTTCTGGCATTTGGTTTCGTTGCCACCCCAAGATTTTCAGTGGCCCACCCCTTAAAACATTTCTGGATGCACCATTATTGGGGATGACTCTCAACTTCACCAAGTTTTAGCTCAATATCTGTAAAACTGACTGAATTTTTGTCTTCACTAATGCTGATTGGCTGTGGAGGCCATCTTGAATCATTTTGATCCACTGATTACTTGCTGAGAATTTCATTAAAATCTGACCTGTGGTTCTTGAGATATTTTGCTAACAGACACACACATAGAGAGACACACAATCACCCACTGCCATGAAGGTGGAGTGCTCCTACTCACTCTTGGCTTTCTCACTCTTGCGCGAAGGCTTCCAGCGGATGCAGGAGCGATGCTCGTCCAGGTAGAAGAGCCTCACCAGTCCTTTGGATCCCGCCTTCAGCTTCACCATCTGCGTCCCGGACTGCATCACGCACATGCATCGCTCCACTATGAATCACAACACATGCACAAAAACAGTTTTACCAAGAGCACTAATCTCAGACACCAGAGAGGCAGGTGTCCGGCTTTAATTGTGCTTTCTCAGGAAGAAGGGAGGTTAAGCGTCACAGGGTCCCACACTTAGTGAAGCAAGCAGCAGCTGATGTGAGTCAGAGTCCAAACCGCAACAGAGATGCCACTGTGGGAACGAACAAGGCTGCTTTTCTGTTGCCCACTGACCTGCTGCTGAGAAAAACTCAGAGGAGGGAGAAATGGAAATGTCTCAAAGGGAGATACTCATCTAATGTGTGTGCCTCTGTTCCAAGTTTCTTAGGTTTGAAAGCTGTTCAGAATTTTTTTTTTTAATCCATCACGCTGAGGCAGGTGGATGACACAATGGGGCTCCATGCTTTTAAAGGTAACTGTCCCCAAACGCCACCATTTTGCTTTGGGCGACACTAAACTGAAACAACTAATTTAAAATGAACTCAAAATCCACAGACATTAGTGAGAGGCAATCTTCACTGCGACTCAGTGGAAACGATAAAGATAATGGATATTTTGATGTTTTTGTTGCCTTAACAGGGATTGGATTTACTGGGTAGCATAATCCCTCTGTCTACTTTTTAAATACAGTAGTGTGGCATTTCTAAATGTCTCTGCCCATCAGCTTTATTGTGGCATGCAGATGTTCGTGCTTCCCATTTTCCCACTCAGTGCAGGCAGATGGTGGCTCACTGATGCATTTTGCATGTGTAGCATGCACTGAAAAAAAAAACTGTTGACTCTCTAAGATAAAGATTTAAACAGAAACTCCTGAAATAAGCAAAATAATATTTTTTAAAAATTGGCATTAGGACTGAAACATCTATGAGGTGAGTTTGTGTTTTCGTTGCCTGACTGTTAAGCGCTACCCAACAACACATAAAAGGCATAAAACTTCAGACTTCTTACTTTATGTGACAGCGACTGGCAGAGGTACAAAGAGAAATGACAACAAAAAGACAGAGATTTCTGTCCTCATTAGTGAAGATTGTGTATGCACATATATACACGTGTGTCTGGATGCAAGAAGCAAGGCGTGGATTTGGCTGTGCACTGTCCGGATCACGCGTCAGTGCACACATGTAGTCCAAACTTGTTTTTCCCTCTTGGCACGTGCAAAAAAGCCCAACTTCCTTTGCTGTCTTACTGTTTACCCAGTTTCTAAAGAAACAGTTCAGATGTTTTAAAGTGGGGTCCCATGCAAATGTTATGAACAATTAATATATTACCTGTTGTAGATAGATCTTTTAATGACCTCAGATTATAGAAATTGGACTGTAGAAGCCATCCTGAAACAACTCGAATTGTGAATATATCATGAAGGCTCATGGAAATGATTTTTAATATGTGTTAAGCTTATCTGCAATTGTGAATTACAGGGTGTTTTACATGGTAATTGCATTTTGGCAACACAGAACAATATGCAGTAGCAGGTACGTTTATGTCTTTCATGCAGGCTGAGGTCATTACAGCTGGAATATACTCATTTTTCGACTAGTTTTGTGTAAAGCAAAATTGTCAGTGATAAAGAAATGTATCAAACAGTGTTCAAATAAAATTTTGATATTTAACATTTAAGATGGCAGCAATTTATTTTGGTCCTTCTCTAACTAGACCTCAATTAAAGCTCATCAGTCCAGTCAGCAATAAGCTCCATTTCTTATAAAGGTTGACAAAACAGCTACAACAGGCAAAGTAGTTGAAGAAAACTCTCAAAACACTTGGGAAACTCTCAGTTTTGTCACATAGATGTGTGATCAGATTTTGTCATGACTTTTGAATATGGTCAGAAAATATATGTGACACGTTTTCTCTCAAAACAGTAACAGAGTTGTTGCGAGCATCTTCATCCCTTCTCAAGGCTGCACAGAAGACTGTTGGAGTCTGTCTCCCCACCATCACAGACATCTACACCTCCAGATGCAGGAAGAGGGCCACCTGCATCATGACGGACCCCACTCACCCAGCACACACACACTTTTGCCCCTCTCCCCTCAGGCAGATGGTTGAGGAGCATTAAGTGTAGAACCACTAGACTGAGGAACAGCTTCAACCCTGAAGTTGTTAGACTCATGAATCACTAACCAGGATAATCACTGTAAGAAAAAAAAATCACTGTAATGCCACTTTAGTTAGTGATATGTGACTTATCTATGCTGCTGACTATCCATGTTGCTGATCTCATGCTGCTGATTATCCATACTGCTGATCTCATGCTGATGATTACCTCATGCTGCTGTATTCATTCGTATTCATTCACATCCATCTACTCACCACAGACTAATGTTCGAGCTGCTGTTATGCCGTATTGTTTTACCTTATTGGTGTTTAGAGTATAACCTACAAAGCTCTCAACAACCTAGCTCCATCTTGTATAGCAGACCTTATTGTTTCATATTTTCCCAACAGAGCATTTCACTCTCAGACTACAGGTTTACTCGTGGTTCCTAGAGTTTCAAAAAGCAGAATGGGAGGAAGATCTTTCAGTTATCAGGCTCCTCTTTTATGGAACCAATTTCCAGTTTCTGTCCGTGAGACTGACACGTTGTCCAGTTTTAAGACTGGGCTTAAGACTTTCCTTTTTGATAAATCCTATAGTTAGGGTTGATTGTTATGCTGCTATAGGCCTAGACTACTAGAGGACAAATTGACCTCATTTCCTTAAATGAATTGTTACAATTGAACAGTTTTAATTTGAGACTATTTCTATCTTAACGTGATTTTCGACCTGCCATTGTGTATCTGTTCCTCCTTCCTGTTCCTCTCAAACCCAGCTGGTTGAAGCAGATGGTCGCTTGTCCTGAGTCTGGTTCTGCTAAATGTTTCTTCCTCATGAGGCAGTTTTTCCTGTCCACTGTCACCTTCATGCTTGCTCATGATGAGAGTCTGTGATGGAGTTAAACTCAAAGTAGTCTGCTCCTTAGATAAATAGTGTTAAATTATTATTTTTATATATGAATGTTTCTGTTCAGTGCCCTGAGACGACTTCTGTTGTGACTTAGTCTGTTGCTTCTCAACACAAGTGCTGGAGGCAGGTCCTGCGGGTCAAAGAAGAGACTCTCTCAAACAAAACAGCCTCCGAGATGAACACACAGCTTTAAAATTATCCACACGGCCTGAATATTAAAAATTAATTAAACTAGAGAAACTGAAAATAAACTAAAGCAGCTTGTTCGCATCTTTTCTTTGGTTATTGAAATTTCGACCAGGCGTTTTATATTCTAAATGAATTTTGTGATTGTGTTTAATTAAGTTTGATTTTTGCAACTGTAAGAAATAATGAAACATTTCTGCAACGAAAGAATCAAATATTTTATGACTGATTTCATTTTTATGAGTGGATTCTAGTTAAAGACACAGATAAGAAAAAATGAAATGTCAAAATTTAAGAAATATGGAGTGAGTTTCAATTGCACTGGATCCAACAATTTAGTGGCAACTTCATGCTAACTTTTTGTAAAGCAGACTAATAAAATGACACTTTAAAATACTGAAGTGAATGCTAGCAAAATTTGCTATATCTACGCAACAATAGTAACTAAAATGTGAACATCAAAGTTCATGCGCAATAATTCAGGTAAAAAATCCGATCTTCTGGATGGTTTCTTTTTTTTTTTTGTTTGTTTGTTGAGATGTTTCATTTTTCAACCAAAGGACTTCATCAGTCTGGGGAGCCACAAACAAACTCAGTCCCACAAGCAGCACACTCACATAGTGGACCAACCATCTTTTTCTTCTCTCTCCGTTAGGCTGCTCTCTTCTTCAGAGGTTGCCACAGCGACTGAGTCGCACAAAATCTTGACAATTATTTTTACACAGGATGCCCTTCCTGACACAACCACAGACCACCGAGCTACCAGTCCTCTGTGTGGAGCAGAGAGCTGCCATCTGGGGCCCCCGGGGGAGCAGATGGTGCAGGTTGGGGCCATGCTCAGGGGCCCAGAGTGAGGCAAGTGATGGTGGAGACAGGTGTGGGTGCTTCACCTATCTTGTTGTTGGTACCGGGAGTTGAACCGGCGATCCTCCAATCACAGGCCCATGTTCTCTAACCTCTGCGCCACCATTCCCTTAAGTGGGCCAATCATCTTATCACCATCAAACTGGTTGGCCCATATGTGAGTGTGCTGCTTGCGGGACTGAGTTTGTTGTGGCTCCTCGGACTGATGAAGTCCTTTGGATGAAGAACGAAATGTTTCAGCAATAAAAGAAACCGTCCAGAGGACCTGACTGAACTTTGATGGGCTATTTTACCTGGATTATTGAACATGAACTTTGATGTTTTGAACCACTTTGACTATGGCTGTCTCAGGAGTCAACGGGGAGAGGGCGAACTCCAGAAACCATCTTATCACCATCAAAGTGGCTGACCCACTATGTGAGTGTGCTGCTTATGGGACTGATTTTGTTGTGACTCCTTAGACTGATGAAGTCCTTTGGATGAAGGACGAAATGTTTCAACATAAAAAGAAACCATTAAAAGGATCTGACTTAACTTTGTTGAAATGTGAACACATTTTTACTCAAGTTGAAGTTAAAGGAAAATTCATTTCATTAACTGGAGTGGTAAAACCATGTGAACATTTGCTGTCAGTATAAAGGTAGACACATTGTTGATGTCTGGACTGCAAGATTTTTTTTTTAAGCTGTTGCTAAGATTTAAAGTCTAAAAAAAATCAAGATTAATTAAAAAAAAAGGTTTGTAAGCTCAATCATTCAGGTAAAAAATACAAAAAAGCTTAAATCATGTCATCTGACTATTTATTTACTGTACTAGGGGGACATGATATGTAAGAGGCATAATGCTATATATAATGATATATATATTTAGCAGAATGAAATAATCATATATATATATATATATATGTATATATATATATATATATATATATATATAAAGTATATACATATCAAACTGCAGTAATAAGGTGATCTTTTTTTCCTCACAGTGGTGCAGATAAATATTT